AACAAGAGTCCAAGAACAAAGACATCAGGGAATAAAAGAAACTCACAGGGAAGAAAGAAAATCTGAAAAGTTTTAGTCTGGGGTGAACAGATGTGAGCACAAAGGGCAGGGCATCCAGCACGGCAAAGACAGGAGATAGTGATTTTTACATACAAGGGTAAAGGGTGCTGCCACTGATGTTTCTTAGGTGAAGCAGAGAGAAGTAAGGCTGGCCAAGGGGTCTGTAGGAGACAGAATAATAGTCCCCTCATGTCTATGTTCTAATTTTTGGAACCGGTGAATTTATACCTTACATGGCGAAAGGTGCGCCGCAGGTATGATTAAATCAAGCATCTCGACACGGGAAGATTATCCTGGATTAGCCAGGCAAGTTCAAGGTAATCTCAACAGGAGGCAGAAGTGTCAAAGTCAGAGAGAGGACATGTGATGATGGAAGCAGAAGTTGGAGTGATGTTACTGCTGGCTTTGAAGGTGGAGAAGGGTCCGCGAGCCAAGGAATGCGGGCAGCCTCTAGAAGCTGGAAAAGGCAAGGAAACTGATTCTCTCCTGGAGCTTCCAGAAAAACGTAGCCCTGCCGACACATTTAGGGGAAGATAACAAATGTGTTTTTTAAAGCCAAGTGGGTGATGATTTATTACAACAGTAACAAGACACTAATACAGGGTTTAAGATTATTGGCCTCGAGAGTCATTGTTGTCTGGAAGACAACACAGACTCACTTCAATATATTTGAACAAAAGAATAGTGTTCTAGGAAAACTGATCTGCAGCAAAAAATGAGTAAGAAGACAAGGCTCAGGAACAGCTGAAGAAGTACTTACATAAGGTAGTGAGACTCTGCAGGGAGCATGGTAAGTGTAGAAATGAAAAATGAAATGGTGCACATGATAGAAATTTGGAAGAATGAACCAACAGGATTTGATGACGCTCTGGATGTGGAAGGTAAGAGAAAGGTAGGAAAGACCTCCGAGGTTTCAAATCTTGTGGCCTCAGTGCTGTGATGGGGGAGGGTGTGAGGATTATGTCTAAGAGAAACCTTTAAAAACATAACCACAGCAGAGGAATTCTCAAATGTCCACAGGCATGGAGATTACCTGGAGTGCTGGTTTAACCTGCAGATTCCTGGGCTCCATCACAAAGACTCCGATTCAGGGAGCCTGGGTGGTACCCAGGAATCTGCCCTTCAGCAAACACTGTTCTGATCCAGGTGATCCAAAGTTCACACTTTGAAAAACAACAATCAAGAAAAACTAAAAGGAAATGGAATCAAATACTCATCATAGCTCTGGAAGAAACGACTAATCTTACATAAAATCTGAAGGGGTAAAAATGAACATATTAGACAACATAAAAATTTTTAAAGTTTGTAAATTAAAATAAATATCATACCCAAAATAAAAAGGTCCTTGGTGAAAAACTGTTTCAGCAAATGGTTAATATTAACAGGCCACACAAACTAACAAGCAAAAACAACTGAGACCCCTGCAGATAAATGGGAAAGCACGTAAATAGAATTCCAAAAAGAAGGACTCAAATCATAAACAAACTTAAGAAATACCAATTAAAACAGCAACAAGGCAACACAGACTGCTTGCTAAATAAACAAATATCATTTTCGGGGATAATATTCAAAGCTGATGAGATGCTGTGCTACTTTCATACTTGCTGGTTGTGTTATAAATCCGCTATAACCATTTTGGAAGAAGGTAATTTGAAACTATATACCAGCAGCTGCAAAAATATCCATACTCTCTGACAGAAAATGCTTCTTTTAGGACTCTAGCTTAAGGAAACATGCTTGAAAATGGGGAAATAATTATATACAATGAAGGCTATCCATTATTGGAAGTTTACCATGCACTATACATGATTTCATTTAGTCTGTAAAACAATTCAATGAAGTTAGTACTCTAATTATTCCCATACTAAAAATGGGGACCTGAGGCACTGAAGGATCATGTGATTTGTCCTAAGGCCTTGAAGAGCTAAGAGAAGTGGAAGCAGGTTCGGGAACATTTTGCTTCTGGAGCTAGCTCACTTCATTTCTACGCCATCATTACCACCACGTGCAAGTGGGAACATGGTGAGTGCAGCCACGTTTCTTTTACTAAAAAAATGCAAGAAAAGAAGGAAAACAGGAATTGTATTAGGAGAGTAGAAATATGTGTGGGCAATCATGGATTACTTCTCCTGCCCCCAAAATTTTCTGCAAGCTTAAGCATTGTAAATTGAAGTTACTTGAGGGGGAGAAAATAATGCACATAGGAGGAAAAAAACTCCTGAATTTTTCGAAAAAGTATGAAAGAAGTCCTAAGTGTAAATAAATGATTAGGATAGTGTTTTGATATTTTAATATCAACAATTGTAAAAGTTTTGGAGAAATAATAATCACTAAGAACTTTTTTCAGATAGCCAGGTGAACTGTCAGATCAGTAATGGTTTTAGTTTCTGCTTCAAAATTAGCCTGACAATAAGCCAGGAGGCATTCTGGTGTGTTTATGGTACATGGAAAAGAGCTATGTATCTATTATTCTACATAGCACTTGTTAATAGCTCATATATTATTTTAGAATTAACTTGGGGTCATTGGCTAAACACTTTAAACAAGTGTGAAATACAATGTAAAGTGTAAGAAAAATCAGTACACTGGCAAGAGAGCAAATTGCATCCACTGCAGAAATAGCTGAGTATTTAAAAAAAAATTAAAAGAGAATAAATCTAACTACACTTAAAGGGAAAACACTTCAATGTAAAAACATAATATGCAAAGCACATCAAAACTCAAATATGGAAACTGGGGTACCAAAATTCTAACAAAAGGATAAAGTTGTCCAACGTGGCAGCAGTAATCAATAAAGCTTGATAATTTTTTTGCCCATTTCAATCCTTCTTAACGCACAATTTTACAGTAAAGATTACAGATTTGTTTTTACACCTTACCATTGTTTGTACTTAATCATCTTTTATAAGTTACCTTTCTGCCAAATCTCATACAAATATCATGAAGAAGACTTCCAGCAGCTGCTTTCTGCTCTGTCACACGTAAGATAGGATAGTGTCTCCCAACTAAAATTCTGCTCCAAAAAACTTTTTTTTTTCTTCCCTCTATGTCCCTGTGAGGATATTCTAACAAAGCTGCTAGAAGATGGAGAGATCTGAGAATTTCTACTCGCTTAACTCTAGCAGGCCTGCTGATAGAAGAATAGCTAAAATTATTAACAGAATTGCAGAAATTAAGAAGAGTCCTAGGAAATCTAGGTTTTTTTCTGACTGTGAGTATCTAAGAACTGCCTACAGTCACTGGGGAGGGGTCCTCTTCTGCAGGAGAAAATACACTGTATCAGAGAAAAGCCCAGGCGAACGACCCTCCACGCCAGGAAGCGTGGGCAGCCTCCTGCTCAGGGCGAGCCTAATTGGCAGTCACCCAGCTGTGCCTCGTGTGGAGCTGGTCCCCGGGTATCTGGTGGGGACAGCTGAGCTGTGTCGGGGTCATGGGGAGCTGGGCGCTGACCTGGGAGGTTAGGAAGGATGTGACAGGCTGCCTAGTCCGGACTCTGGTCACCAGAGGCGGGGCTGGGGATGGAATTCTGATTTTCATCTCACTGTAAGGACTTATTTCATGAGGTCCCCGGTGGAAATATCCCTAGAATCTGTTTCCTCAAAAACAGTGAACTGAACAGAATTTCTCGAGAAGGAAGTGAAACCCACACTCCAGGTTTGTTTCTCTGGGTTGAAGCTTTTGTAAAGTCGGCTGGCAACACCAGGCCTGAACCTGGGCCCGCCCGTGTTGTTTCTTTTGGAAGCAAACTTGGATGTAACACAATTTTCATTGGAGAATTAAATGTGACTTAATCCCAACAGAAGAGTGTACAGGTAACTGAGAGTTCCCCTTTCAAAGAAAACAGGGAAACAGTCACTGATTTCTCAGCAATATCCTATGAAAGTTCCTCTAGTCTCCTGACTAAAAAAGAGGTGGGAAAATATAATTATAAAAAATGCTAAAGAACTGTTAATACAGAGTAAGCACACTATCACATCATTTATCCAATGCCATGTCCCAGGGAATTTAAGGCGTGTTTAATTAAATTAAAAAAACAAACTCCTTCTTAACATCCTTACTTAGTATATTCCTATCTCGCTTCTTACATAAGTAACAAAAGTGAGTAAATTAAATTATGCCATACATTTTACATATGTGTGTGCATGTGTGTGTATATATATTCACATGTATAAAAATATCTACACCCACATGAAAATGCATATATGAAGGGAAAATTGTAAAATTGCAATAATTCATATACAGCGATTTTCTGGGAAATTTCATGAGGTAATTCTAACAATAAGGTAACTGTAGCACCCCAATGATAATCTATAATCTGCAAAACATTAAATTTTGGTATAAAATAAGAAAGTATTCACTCTTCTTCTCTTTAAGACCGTTTCTCCCTAAACTCAACTATTCCTTTTGCATTAATGTCCCTTTCATCTCAGACTTTTACTGAGACACCAGGCCTATTAAGTGGCCTTTACAACTCAACAAAAGGCAGCGAGCCTCCTTTCACATGTTGCCCACACAGTCCTTAAACACGTGACATGTATGTTATCTTTTCTGGGTAGATGTAAGTATAAGTTGATTTTAATAAATTCCTCCTAAAAAAAGTAGAATCCTTTGCTTTTCTTCGTTTCCTTTTTTGTAAAGCCCATTGAGTATATTTTCGGACAAAATATCTTACTCTTTGGGGACAGAACCTACAATCCCCAGCCCAGCACCCTGCCAATCGCTTGCCATCCCACATCTGCTCGTGCAAAAGACCTTAACAGAAAACCTACCTGCTCAGAAAGCACACCTGTAAAAGAGTAAACAATGTATGTTAAAGGCAAATTTACTTCACGATAAAAGAAGTCATCCTGTTCTAAGGACTCCTGGTGCTCTGAGGAACCCCAGAAAGCTGTCTTAATGTAATACTATCTGCCATACAGGGAAAAAGAAAAAAAAGTTACCTTTTTGTGCAAGGCATGAAATTCGCTGTACCTTTTCTCAACAAAATGTTTTCTTCCATTCATTAGCACTTCTATCTTAAACACCTAAGGAGAAAAAAAAAATAAGATTAATTCTACCAGTCTGAAGCCCTCAGTTGTCTGATGTGGTAAGTTTGTGACCATGATATATTTCATCCCTTTAATTACAGTAGCTGATCCCCCAAAACCCAGAAGGCTCAGGAGACCCCTGGTCCAACAGCACTGATTAATGAGCACTCAAGCCAAATGCTAACAAACTGCAGTATCCCCACAAATGTGTCTAGAAACAACAGAAACTTAAATGCCTGAAAATGCACCTTAACTTTTAAATCAGAGGACATTCCTCCCTTAAAAGTATTTCACCAAATACAGATGATGGTACTGAAATAAAAATGTGATACCACAGAGCGAGCCTGGCAAAAATCGCAGACCCCAGACATGCCATTATGGGTGTTTCGATGACGGAGGGCTGTGTCATGGAAAAGACAATCATGCAAACAGTGGTGCATTTTAGGTTAATTTCTTCCTAACGTGCATATTCATCTCTAGTCTCAGCTGGGCTTATTCTGCTGTTTGCAAAACAGTGAGAACGTGGTAAAGGTTCATTTTCCCTGCATGAGACAAGTGACAGCTTGTGCTCCTACCTCCGGGAGGTTGAAAGGCCAGATGAAAAGGCTCTCTGTGTGCACTAATTAGTAGGCACTAACATGACATTTTCTTGATTCTTAGGTCAGTGGGTCAAGACTGGGAACAAGGGATGAGAAGTATTGTGAAATGCTCATGAAAACACAATGTTAAAGTG